ATCCACGCCTCAGCTTTCTCCCTCATATCCAACGTTTCCTCTCCCCCACCTTCCACTTCCTGAGCATACTTCTCCATCCAGACAACGACGAGCAGCGTAGCACCCACATCTCTATTCGTTATCCAAGACTACTTTCGACACGCCGAGCAAACTCCTCCACATCCGAGGAAAGTGGTGTAGCAAGGCTTGCGCGAGTCCCTTCCCGAGGAGATTCAGAAGCGTAGCGCTGAGTTGGAAGCTTCCGTGCCATTGCTGGAGTCTGGCAATGGCAGTGAGGAGGGAGTCTGAAAGATGATGGTGAGGGGATGTATGGGGCAGCACCGCTAGACATCCACCGCGATTTGGAATCGCGTTCTCTGTCACGTTCCGAATGATCCCGTCCCGTCACGCTGTAAACCCGAGGCAGCATTTTGGGTTGTAGCCAACAGTGGTGCTCCTGGAGGTGGTGGAGTAGGAGCAGCTAGAGCGAGAGAGCGTACTTGAGGAGCCCCAAAAGAGAAAGCCTGTGCTGACGAGGGGTGGATGGGCCAGCGCTGCGAGATGACATCATGGCACCGAAAAGAGGCATCCCCGACGGTGGTGGAGTAGGAGCGGCGGGAGGGAGAGAGCGTACCTGAAGAGAAGAGAGAGGGTTCATCTGTAGCATCTGCATCTGTTGCATGGGAGCGTTCGCCATACCACCTGCGGCATAATCTCGAGCTTTACTAGCCGGTGCACGCTTGGCACTTTTGGCTCGACTGTATGCATGAACCACAGCTTCAGGTTGCAGCGCCGGAGAAGCCCATTGAGCTTTACTGGAGCGATCCACAGCAACAAAACTGGTATATCGACTTGCAAGGTTATACTGTGTTCCTAGCCGTATAATATCCTTTTCAAGATACGCCGCTTTGAGTTCGGAATTCTGGGTATCATCACCTTGTTTCGTTGGAGCCAGGCGCGAATAACGCAGAAACCGAAGCTGGGAATGAGTGTTTTCCTTGTTCCCGGTCCCGGATTAGCGCTTTTGCGGCGAGGACGTGGATAAAGGAGGATGCGTTGGGTAAAGCGACGGACAGCTCGGATGCTGACGATGAGGAAAGAGCTCTGGTCACCGGTACGACAAGCTCTACGGGGTCACCAGAAGTGGTCACAACACCCTTGATCTTGATCGCTTTGATCGCCTTATCCAAAGGTTCTTCACTTTTGGGAGTACGAAGAATTGCGTATATCTGCGTTCTCGTTCCAGGAGGATACTGGGTATATCCGTAGGGGGCGACTGTTGGATAAGAGGTAGAGGAGGAAGAGTGGGGTTAGGTTTTGGCGGTGGACCAGTCGGAAGTTGATTATCCGCAGTAGAGTCAGACCCGAAGAGATTGATAGGCCCAGGAGCAGGTTTCGGAGGATCTGCAGAAGACGTGGTAGAAGGGCCTTCGACCATTTCGAAATCGTCATCGATGTCCACCTTCCCACTCTCGTTCGTCTGTACGCCCCGCTCACTCCCCACGCCCCACTCGACCTCAACCTTCACCAGCGGTGTCCTCGCCGCTCTAACCAACCTCGCACACTTGCCCGTAATCGGCTCTCCCTCCTTAACATACACCGCCATTCCCTCTCCTGCACGCGCAATACTATCACAGGTATCGGTCGAAGCACCAGAACCAATTCCTACTGTGAATACACGGATGTATGACTTCGGATTATTGGGTTGTGAGACGGCAAGACGTGCGGCAAGAGTGTTCTCGACACAAGTAGACACGTCCCAGGCACTACCGTCTGTCAGAAGGAAGACCGCGACAGGACGCTGGAGAGGCTTTGGAAGGGAGTCGTAGACCAATTGAAGCGCAGACGCGATTTCGGTTCCTCCATAGTTCGCTTGCATGGAGCTAGCACCGAATATGTTAGTGTAAACCTAGAAGTGTTATTCATGAAAAACATACTCAATGTGGCCAGTTGCCTCGTCCAACGTCGATTGAGAGTATTGCCGACTGGATGGCCAACAGCTTAGTCGCAGTCGATCCAAATGAGAATATGTTGAAAGTCGTCCCAGAGGTAGGTAAACCTCGAAGCAGTACAACCAAAGCTTCACGAACGAGCTGTATTCCAGTCCCTTGCATTGCTCCCACTCCGGTCAACAAGGAAGACATATTCCATTCCACCTTGGACGTCTGGGGAGATTGAACTGCGGAACAAAGGTAAGCGCCATTGCCGTAGTTTCCTCGTTCGGACTCTGATGAGGTTCGATGAAGCATCGAGGAGCATCGAGGCCAGCGGCAGTAATGACGAGGACGATATCTTGGGTAAGAAATCCTGTGCGATCCGTTAACGATACGCTAGCGAAAATGGCCCTCTTGAGATGTGATGCCCTCTGGTGCTCCAAGTTCGAGAGATATGGGATGTCCAGATGGGCACGATATGCTTCGGATAGCACCCGCTTGTTGGATCATAAAATCCATTTGAAACGGTTGGTGCGCCGTCCTGGCGAAGGCGGCATTGATCGAAGGAGCAGAACCATATCGCCGAGCATAAGTTCGCGGAAAGATGAACTTGATCTGATCCTTCTTTTCGTCGTCCATGAGAGGCTGAACATATCGCAAGTTGATCGTGACTGTCTCCCTTGGCGAAACATTTCCAACGGTGATGGAAAACACTATGGATCGAGGATCAATAAACTGTTGTTCAGTCAAGATATTTATGCTTACCATCTCCAGTCTCTTGTTGTCCCAAACCAGCTGTATATCCTTCCGATATAGCCTTTTCGTAGTCCTGTTTCGCCTCCTGCTTTTCCTTCACCAAACCTTCGACTTTAGTTCCATCTCCTCTGACCATCTCAAATCCACACACAGCAGCATCTGCCATCATCGCAAACGTATACACCCCCAAAGCATTAGATTGTGCATTTTCATTGGTGAACTTTTGAGATAATGTAACAAACGCATGAACATCAGTGATCAAGGCTTGGGCAGAGCAGCCATCGAGGAGAAGGTCTGTTCCGGTCCTGGAATCATAGAAACGGCAAAAGCAGCTGAAAGAGGACATGATAGGTAAGTGTGGGGATAGGCGCACGAAAGGAAAGACTTTATACTCTTACGTTGCACAGCAGGAAAGCTTGTTGGAGCCACGGAGCCGAAAATTCCACAGTTAGAGGTGTTCAGCGTTAAATAAATTTGCTGATATTTCGAGTAGGTGCTGACACTGAAAGTAATTGTTGAAGGAGCTAGCGAAGTGCCGCGTCGGATGCTTAGCGCTTAGTACTCGTACTTGCGCACTTTCATGTCCTGGCCACACGCGGTGGTTGAAATTTGAAACGTTGAGGTGAAGAAATATATTTTAGGCGCTAAACTTGGATAAGCGCTTGCATCCAAACGAGTCAACGCAGCGGCTTTCTCAGGCCGAACGTCTAAAAACCATACAATATATAATTGCAGGTAAACTTTGCTCGCCTTCTGATCCCTCTTAATCCAGATAACCAGATACACCGGTAAGCCCAAAGCACACCATCATCTCCATACCAGAGTCACCGGCAGTAGTATACCCCGTCGACGCATCTTTCTCACTGAGCACGGCTTCGCTGTGTGGCCGATTAGTATGTCAAGTTCTCGGACATTCCAGCTCCGAAAGTTCCTTGCATAATCGGTCAAATGCTTTCATGTATTGATTGTTACCTCTCGAAGTACCTTCAACTCGTAAAAAGCCATTTCCACAGCTGCACAGCTGGATCGGACAAATTGCTCCAGCCTTCTCAACGTCTCCGTTCTCCTTCCTGTATATACCACAAGTAGCCTGATACTCTGACTTTGCGAGTCGCTTTGGATCGAAGGTTCCCCGAGAACTCCCTGTATGTCCACTTTTTATCCTAGACATCGATCACCCAAAGAAAGACTGATGAAACTGTAGTGCAGCCTTTAACCGCTCAGCTTCATGAGTATATATGACCAACGGTCATATCAAATGGCATTGAGTCTCGATAATTACGTTTGGATAATGCCTCTGAGAGATTTCTTACAGTCTCACTCCATTTGGCTCTCGCTCCCAGTTATAACCTGAGTACTGATTTCGATTTCACTAGTACATGTGCACGCTTAACCAGTCCCGTGTACACCCCGGCCATGAACTCATCGTTCAGCGCTCATCATCGGTACTGCAGCTCAATAAGGTTACAAAGCGATACCCTTTCTTAGCATCCAAATGCCAATTCGTCCCTAGTTTCTGCTGAAAGAAATTCAATAACGCAAGGACTCCTGTCTGCACTAAAGGTATGTACGCAGTTTTGCCACAGTCCATTGAGTTCATGCCATAGTCCGGTAGTTAAAGTCGCTCCAGCGTACAGCACCTTCAATGTGTACGGTTTTCATGCTGGCTATGCTCTTGGGTGCGAAAAATCGAGGCTCAAACGGACCAAACAAAAGCACCCAAAAGTAAGCAATAATAATGATTTCTATGGCCTCATGCACATGTCTTGCGGGCTTGATATATATGTTGAGGACGAACCGGGATTTTTCCGAAAAAATGTGCACCTTCCTCTCATTCATCGCGTACGTCCATCCTCTATCATTGGAGATTCATGATCCAACGTGGGCCGCCGACGAAAGGCGCCCAGCACCAGTTCCATTCCAGACACAGTTACTTACGCGGTCTGGATTTAACTTATGTGTATGTCGGTACAATCCCCATACATACTCATAACCTGGATCCCGCTGCTAGACTGGTATGCCGAACATCCAGGCGCAGTGATATCTCTGGAGTCTCACAATCTGGAAAGATGCTGAAAAAGCGTAACACAGCAAAACAAGTAAGAGGATTGAGGAATTGTCCAGTCTTGCCAGAACGATGCGAGTGGAGAGAATCTTCTAGAATATGCTTGCAACCTATACGTGCAAAGTTGAACAAACATTAATGCTTCTTGGTAGAGAGTACCGAGTTGCTGGAAGCTTGGAAGCTGGTGGTGGCACGAGTCTTCTTTAACCTCGGATCGATTGTGAAGAAGACGAAAAAGAACATAATTACTTACCCCAATCAGATACTTCCGACACGGGGAATCGAACCCCGGGCTATCGCGACCAATCTCGTCATCTTTACACAGTTATGAGAGGCGATAATGTTAGCCACTACACCATATCGGAATACATTCTCCAGGGTCATTCGCCATCTACCATGCTTGCCGTTCCCACTAGTTCCCCGTGTCTCTTTCCCGAGCTGCAGTTCAGCAATATCAACGCGTTCACTGTGGTCTCGTATCAAAGCTCAAGTCACTACTTCACTACTGAGCTTGGAATAGTCGAAAGAGCGCCAAAGTCACATCGAACTTAAGCTTTCATCTCATGGAGAATAGCTGCAAGAGCAGTTGAATATGCCCTCCTTCAGCAAAGCAAAGAACTCGGCCTATACCAAGACCATAGCCTTCTTTACCCTTCTTTACCTCTCTCCCAGTACAACTTCATAACCATGCCGTCAACTACGACAAAGCCATGTGTCTCTGCGTCTCACAAACGCGGTGCCATCTGACTTCACCGTATTCATCCGTATTAAACTTATGCTCGCAAGTGCCTTCATGGTTTGGGATCTCTCAGCCAAAAACCCCAAAGAGCTCTTAGAAACTTACATTCATAATCATGAGTACTGCTGGACATGTCGACAGTAGGATCACAGCATGATTATCTGCACAAGCTTAAGAATCAAGATGAGGCAACGGAGGCTATCGGACGACCGCGGGATTTTTGAACGAAAAAAGCCAACCGCTGGTCCAGGGATATGGATGGTTTCAAATGATTTGGAAATGTGAGGGTGCTGCAGAAGGCACATCAGATGCAAGAGCATTATGGCTACTAGAAGAAGTATTGGTGGGTGGAGGAGGATTGGTTTTTCACCCATTAGACATGAGATGGCAGGGTCTGGATTCACTGAAGAAATTATTGGGCTTCTTTCTTCTACGGCCAGAATTAACCCGACTCGCACCCCAGTTGAGATTTGTTCGCGCTCGGGCAGAAATCGAAGAATCAGAGCCAGAGATATCCATAAACCTTCGATTAGAGTAGTGGCGAGCTCGACGATTGATTGTCTCAATACTACACTGCAAACTCAAAACCACAAGCAACGGCCTCTTGGAAGAATTGAGCACAGTCGTAAACTATTCAACACTGACAAGATCGCTGTATTCGCTGTAATCGGAGAACGGCAATGGGAGGGCGGATAGACGTAACCGACTCTGAGCTTAGATCCTCCGACATAGTTACTTACTAGCTCTTACAGATCTGTTGCACTTGAAGCTTGGAGTGAGATTCGATAGGTTTGGAGACAGAGATGCATTATTGGGATTGGGATTGGAGAATAGGACTCGCGCGATCGTATCGAAGAAACCAGAGTTCGTCAGAGACATGAGCTCAAGGCGAGGATATCCTCACAGCTTGTACGATGAGGGGCAGAAGTCAAGTTTAATGTGCGCGTTAAATTGAGAGTAGCGACGTTGATGTATCCATTGCACTGAGAGCGCATACACACCCAGTAAGGCTGTTGAAAATTGGTGTACTGGTCTAACACCGAAAATGTTGTTCGATGGTCTGACAACGTCGACGATCAGCTTGTATAACCATACAAAAATATAGATACGCACCAATATAACCAAGAGAATCGCCATTGTCTATTCAACACTTCCAGCAAGCTACACACCCCTGGATAATAGCTGTCATCCTTCTTATCTTGCTCTTTGTTGAGAACCGTGAATCTTGACAAAGATTGGCTTCCGATACAGATTGAGATAGCGAGGCGAATAAAGAATGGACCAGCTGCCAGTATAAGTAAAAGATAAGAAGCAACTGATAGCAAAGATGACTTGAAGACTTGGAAGCGGCTTCGAGTCTTCCTCCTCCTGATATTCGAGCAGCAGAACCGATTTTGAATCTGGTGTTGTAGTAATCGTTGAGGCCGTTCAAAAGATAGTGGCAGGAGATAAGCTGGGATATCGATAGACGTTGTAGTCTAATAGTTGACTCATTGGTAGTGATGAGAGACGAAAAGAAGCTGGCGCAACTGTCATAGGTTGTTCTGAATGGCGTCGTCGTCGTGGCGAGAGATAGAGAGAACTAAAACAAAATCAGGCGTGTGGCTGTGTCAGGTCTCAGTTTGGTGCTGCCTGCGTGAGCAATCTTGGAATTTCGTTCTTCGAGCTTCAAGTTATTTACAGTAATGACACATGCCGCCGTTTCATCTGTTCGAGATGGTTTCAAAGTCACAGTATCCGAGCATGTCCTTAAAAAAGCTAACGACTAGAAAGCGTGTACGAGATTCTAATCGAAGAACGAAAACCAACGCTTTGACCGGTCGTGAACCATCTCTTCAAAGCGATATCGATAGACATCTATTGAAATTACGCCCACTTATGTACACTACACCATGGATCGATAACTCAAAAGGCTCCAGCTGCATCAAAACCCATCGCTGCCCCCGCATCCATACCACCCATTCCCGCCCCCACATCGTGTACTACCACATGATGTCCCGACATATCATTAGCATGTGTCGTATCATGAGGATGTTCCGCCGGACCATTGTCTCCCGATGAGTCGGTTGGCGGGATAAAATGTGTATCATCCGGATGATGCCCGTCCTTCTTATCGTTTTCTGTATTAGCTCCCGGAAGCTGCTCGTGGTGGTGTGGGACAGTTTTGTACTTCATGTCTCCGTAAGGATGAGTTGGCTTGTTTCCAGGGGCCGGAAACTTAGGAAAAGGTTTCGGTTTCGGTTTCGGTTCTTTGTCCTTTTTTGATTTGGCTTCTTCCACGGGCGGCTCGGGGAAATCCACTTTTAATGGCGGGATTTTAGCGACTACTGGAATCCGGGGAGGACCGTTGTGTAAAGGGGCAGGTGGAACAGGCTTTTTCTTGAATACGGCTTTGACTTTCTGTGACCAGCTCTTCTTCTTGGGTTTATCGCTCTTGGGCTTATCACTCTTGCCTTTATCCTTTCTATGCGCTCTACTCTCGAGGTGTGGTAAGGACCTACTATATATTAGCAAAAACGCAGAGATACACAACCAAAGTAAATACGCACCGACGCCCCAGATAGTCTGAACTGAAGGAACCATCCACGTCTCGACGCCCGAGGTTCGATCTGCTGCATATTAGCGGAAAAAAGCATAGATACAACGTAAGGAGGAAATACCCTTTGGGATCTAAATGCTCATCACGTCGGGCGTAGTAGGTGCCCCCCAGCTCTCTTGGCACGTGGTGGCTGAGGGCACCTTCCTGGGGCATCCCACCAGATTGGCTCTCTGCTACCTGCGGAGCGGCGGGCAGCAGGCTATCTGCGGCGAATGAAGGTGCAGGAACTTGGGATCTACGATGCGTTAGCGAAGCCGATTAGCGAAACCGAATCGATATCAGAAAATTATACGCACTGAGATGGAATGGCAGCGGAGTAGGCTTGAAGGGACATCGCTAGGAGAACAAAGGCGATCGTGGATGGTGTAAAGTACTTCATGATCAACATGAAAAATTGAAAAACGTTTCGTGGGTTCGTGAGTTCGCAAAGACCAGCTTGGAACTTGGGGGCATGTCGATACGAAGACCACCCTTTATAAACCTTGGAGTATCGGTATTTCTTGGATTTACAAAACAGGCATCTCAAGCCGCTTATAATATTGAACAACATTTTGGCGGATTGACAGGTTCACAAAGGTTTTGGCGGATTGGTTTTGCAAATCAGACAAGTGCACAAACGTTTTGTGCCTCAGCCTTGTTTATCGATGATAATGCAACGAGACTATCGCTCGACGCAAACTGTGGTAGTACCTCCTGGACGATAACCACCTTTTTCTCATTCTTTAATGTGCAAGAAAATACGTTGGAAGTCAGTTTGTGACCCTCCGCTCGTCGGCCATGCCTCTTCATATGACCAGGACCCAGGGGCAATACCGGAGAAATATAGGCCATACATATATGATGTCGATAGCCGGGCGGGGTTCCGTACCACACAACGGTGGAGCATACTTGTGGTGTACACAGGCTTTTTGGAATGCGAAGCTGTTTTGGGATGCGTTGCCGATGAAGAGCTGGAGCAGGCTGGAGCGCTATTAAGAGTGTTCATTATTGGAGCAGGGAGATTGCTGATGCTAGCCCGGCGGAGGCGGTACAACTCCCATCTCCGGCGTTCTTGGTCGACGTATCCGGCTGAACATGGACAAACTTCCAACTTCAGATGGGTGGTGTACCAGTCATGAACGATTTGGACGGGTTAACATAAGTAGCAACGCATTGGTAACAATTTACCAAAAGTTTACTTGGCCATACTTAACATACCGGCGATGCCTTCCTTCAACGAACGTAACTTTTCTGCGCTATCACCCGCATCCCCAGGCCCAACTTCACTTTGAATCCACGCCTCAGCTTTCTCCCTCATATCCAATGTCTCCTCTCTCCCACCCTCCACCTCTCCAGCATACTTCTCCATCCAAACAACGGCGAGTAACGTAGCGCCCACATCTCTAATCGTTATCCCAAGGCTGCTCTCAACACGCCGAGCGAACTCTTCCACATCCGAGGAAAGTGGGGCAGCAAGACTTGCGCCGAGTCCCTTCCCGAGTAGACTCAAAAGCGTAGCGCTGAGTTGGAAACTTCCGTGCCATTGTTGGAGTCTGGCGATGGCAGTGAGGAGGGAGTCTGAAGATATTGCAGATGGTGAGGGGGTGGACGAGGCAGCACTGCGAGATGAAACTTTGGACTGCGATCCGGAATCACGTTCTCTTTCACGTTCTGCATGACCAACAGTTGTTTTCTTGCCTTTAGGTTGTCCCTTAATATTATCTAAAAGAGCCGAACGGGAACGCGGTAGGACAGCTCTTTTGGATACAGCGGCTAGCATCTGTGATGCTCCTGGTGGTGGAGGTGGTGGAGTAGCAGCGGCCGGAGGGAGAGAGGATAACTGACCAGGAGGCCCAGCAGAGCGAGAAGTAATCTGTACCGCATGAGAAGCTCTCTTCATCAACATACGGGGTTGGGCTCGCCTGGATCCATGAACCACAGCTTGAGGCTCCGGGGCCGGAGGAGAAGCCCACTGAACTTTACTGGAGTGATCCACAGCAACAAAACTGGTATATCGACTCGCGAGATTATACCGTGTTCCCAGCCTT